CTATATAACGTTGGATGAACATGGAGAAGATCGAGCAGTACAGTGGAAGGATTCAGCTGAAGCTCTCTATGGAATCACGTGGATACGAAAAGCTCAAGATAAGCTGTAGCTGATCAAAGTGCCGAAGTAACTGGCAGTCGCACTATTTTCTTAAGCGAAGCAGTTCCTTCGTTTTTTTTTTTTTTTTTTTCAGTCATCCAACAACAGAATACGTATACTTTGATCGGTTATCGTTTTTCTTTTGTGACCGGAGCTGTGCTTGATGGTCATTTTGTTCATTGTTTAGTTCTCAAAAGAGGATTGCCTTTAGATGTTTGGCACCCCTTCTCTATTTCTCTAACTGAGAACCATTGGACTGGTAAGTGAATATGGATTCATGATCCCACATTATGCATATTTCAGAACTTTCGGGCGAGAATGGCTGCAAGGATTTCGCTGCATCGAGCAACGCACTAGTTCCGAAGCACATTTTACGATTATGCAAATCGGAGATGTGTGCGAGACATCTGATGGCCATCTGGACGGGCCAGTTCTCATGCGCACGGCATTCCAACTATGAACCACCGCCTCTGCCACCTCTACAATTCGAACTAAATATTGGTTTGTTGTGTTCTGAAATCTGTTAGGGCATCAGTTTACTTCGCAGCACACCGAGAGAACCAAGGGCCGCTGCCAGTCTTCTTGAGTTGCGAAGAAATACCCTTAGCTGCGAGTGGAGACAGTGATTCATAACATAAAGAAACAGCAAGTTTCGTATTTTGCTGTGATGTTATGCTTTGCTGATTAATATCAAAATACAGGCAAGGTTGTGCATTTACTGCGGCAAGCCAGTTTTGTGATGGAAGCTTCAGACAGTATTCATCCGCTGCAGAAAGAATGCCCCTGAAAAAGAGGCAGCATGTGCCCTCATCTTCAAAAAATTTACATTTTTCTCTATTGTGGCGTAATTGCATTACATTCTTTACATTCTTCTCTGTTGTAGCATTTGTATTATAATTATTTTAGATGACATGATTACTGACGGACACTTTTGACAGTAATTTTATTGCTCATTTTTATAAGCACTTTTAGTACTTATATTACTTTTGTAAGTACTTGTAGGACTTTCATAAGTACTTTTAGTGTAATTAATATTTGTTTTATTTATGTCACTATCAACACTAAGCCTGCTTTATCATTTTTTATAAAAAATTTAAGAGACACGGCATTAAAATTATAAGTGGTTTAGAAAAAAACGTAATTTTAATTACAAGAATGGTCTGTTTTTGAGTAATTGTAGTACTTGCAAGCTCCCGGACTCTTGAAATTTATTTTGGCGTATCTTAGTTAAGCTAGTTGCCAGTGTTTCTGTACTTGTTGAAATAAGATGCATGCAAATGCGTTCATTTTTAGGTGACTTTCTGTCCGAATTCGACGCCATTTCGTTGGTTGAGCATCTGGACGCAGTTGTCTCGAAATTCAAGGATGCGACGAAATCGTCGTTGCGGCGGCTTCACTACGTCACCACTGTCGCTTTGCCTGAAGCAATCATCTTTGCAATCACACAGGTCAGCGATACTTTAACTATAAAGCAGCAGCATAGATTTAAGAGAAAGCGTATGATGGCTGTTTTACCGTGATATCTTGATCTGCATCGCTCCTGCGCTGTGTATCTCGGCTGTATGGATATAGCAGATAACTCCTGCATAATTTCTGTGACCAAAGCTGTTTTGCTTGATGGTTGCCCCGTTAATGTGTGTTCCTGGCGCTCTTTTCTTTGATCTTTTGTTTCGAACATTTTTTCTTTTGCGGTGCTTTTGTTGCTCTTTAGCTTACTCACTAGCTATCTGCGTGCGCTGTTCCTTAGTGGTCGATAACAACTTGATGGCTGCTAGAGTAAAAGCTGATTTCTTTTTAGATTCGTTATTGCTCTGGAAGAGAAGCAAACGAAATTTTTAAAAATGCGGTCCAAAAAACCGA